GTGCTCTCTCTTTCTCTGCTCAGCAGTCCTCCCGAGGTGCCCCGCAGGGGATCAGTAGGTCGGCATGGCATAGTGCTCCCCCCCCCCTCCAAACCCGTTCAGACCCACAACATCAAGGCAAGAAAAGAGAGAAAAAAATAGAAGAGAAAAAGGAATACGAAAAAAGGCCGAGTAAATTGTCAAAAAATCTGGCAGGCGGTAATGTGTTGTATGAAAGGGCACGGCACGGCACCGCCCCACCCGCAGAGACAGAGAGATCACGAGGCAGCTGCCCAGTGGGGCTGCGGGAGGAGGGGGGAAAGGGGGGTATTTCAGAGAGAGAGAGAGAGAGCGGGAGGGGGGCTTTAGGAGTCTCCCGCGGAAAGACATTGTAAAAAAAAAAGAAAAAACAAAGGAAAAGAGAGGCTGAGTAATAAAATTTATCTGTGCTTTGCGGGGCGCGGAGGGGCGTCAGGGGATGAATGGGAATCATTATCAAAGCCTTTGTGACGGGGCGGCGGCCCCCGCCGAGCAGATCGGGTCAGGGCCGAAGAGGAGAGACGAGTAACAAGCCACTCATTTCCGCCTCCCCTTGTCTTTTTTCCTTCCCGCCTTCAGCATTTCCGGTTACGCCCCTCGCCAATTCCTCCCCCCCCCCCTCCTTGCTCCACGGTGAGAGCGCGGGAGCGGCGGGCGGCTGACGGATGGACCACTTACCGACGACGGTGAGGTACATGGAGTGGCCCATGGGCGGCGTGGTCGAGATCTGGCACTCGTACAGCCCCGAGTCCTTGCGCTGCGGGTAGCGGATCCGCAGCGTCCAGTCCTCGGTGTGCGGCGAGTGCACCGCCTCGAAGCGCTGGTCCGACGTGTAGGTGTAGCGGCCCACCGTGAGCAGGTGGATGTCCCGGTGCCGCACCCACGACACCTGCAACAGGAACAACAACAACGCTTGAGAAGGGTGCTCCGGGGCGCTCAGCTCGCAGAGGGCCTGCTTGCAGGATCAGCGGCTACGACCAGCAGGAGCCTCGGCAGCAGCCGAGATTGCGCTGTCGTAAAGAGATGGAAGCGGGCCGGGCGACATGAGAGGGGCGGAGCAAGGGGGGGGGGCGGTATTTTACTGCTTAATAGAAGGCGTCTAATCATAGAGGGGGCGAAGGCGAAGGTACACAAGACTCACGGATTCGGGGCCGCCTTCGAAATGAACGCGTGGCGCCCCGCTGGCGGCCGCCTCCTCGACGGGGAGGGCGGTGTCTCGGACGCGGCCCCCCTCCCTCTCGTTGTATCGTTAGCGGCGCGATGGCCCGGTTGCCCCACCCCTCCACCGGCCCCTCTCCCCCTGCCCCACCCCCTTACCCGTCCAGCCTGGACAGAAATATGTTTCCGAACTCGCCCTCCTAGTCTCCTCAGCGGCGCTCCGACTGGGAGGCAGGGGGCGTGGCGGAGCACGGGGGCCAGAGCCGCTTGCCGCTTTAATATTCAAGCCATCACTGTTTACGAGAAGGATAAGGAAGATATGACCCAGATGCGCAAAGGCTTGCGATATATATCCGAGCACGCGGAGGCCTTGCCTTGGCTCGGCTCGGGCGGCCCGACCCGCCCTGCCCCGCTCCGCCCGGCGCGCAACCGGTGGCGGCGGGACGGCGGGACGCAGCGCCTAACCTGCCGCAACGGTCTGGCGCGCGACTCAGCCGAAACGGTCGGCTAAAGAAGATCCTCATCGGTTTCGACACGCTACGGCAGCCTCGGCAGCACTACCCCATCTATCCCTGCCACTCTCTCAGAAACTTTGTAAAAATTCTTGGTTTTTGTCGTTCGAATCACTGTTATTTTCGTAAACGAAGTGAAATCATTCTGAACAAATGGGCTCTGTAACTTCTTGTCACTGGCTTATAAAGGTTTCTTTATGTAAGCAGGAGCCAATGTGAACTGGTCTGTAATTCGGCATGCCCAATTTTACACCAAACAAATAAAAGTATGTCTTAGCTGGCGCCCGCAGTCGCAGCGCCTCGTATTACAACCCCGTCTTTGCGAGCGCTTTGCAGCGCGCTTCCGGTGACGGATGAACACGGCGCCGTGTCGACTAGGAGGCGCCCCCCCATAATCAGCCCGGGTAAGACATCCCCGCAGCTGTGCGGCCTACTTGTCAGCGACGGACCGCAAAACTTTTGAGGCGCCCGAGCGGCGCGGCTGCTTCAATCCGCGCCCCGCCGCACCCGGCGCCGACTCTGCACCAGCAGCGGGGGACTAGCGCGGCTTACACCGCCTGTCCTGCTGCAGAGCTATCGTTGCCGCAACCCAAATTCGTCTAAGCGTTGACAAAAAAAAAAAAACGAAGAAAATACAAACACCGCATCACTTTTGGGTTAGTTTACATTGCTTTCATTAAACAAAACGAAAACAACGAACGTAACAAACAAACGTTGTCGTTTGATAGCGAATGAATAAAAATGCATTTTAGTCGCAAGAATTCTTTTTTAATTTTGTGTTGTACGATTTTTTTTAAAATTCTTAATCTGAATACAATTGTCAGCGGAGACAGGAAGAGTTTTCCCACTCCCTTGTGCAAGCTTTGAGAACACGAAACCAACTAAATCCGGCCTGTTGGATTTAAGGTCAGACCAAGGGTTCGTACGGTTCGTCCTGACCTCGCACCCGGAGCTGAGGTGCGGCGGTCCGAAGGTGTGAAACGCCCCGCAAGTACCAACCAATGAGGTTCCTGGGCAGGAGGGACGTCGGGGGAGAAAGGGGGCAGGTCGACATGCCAGTGGGGCATTCATAAAGTTTTACAGCCTGTATCAGGCCGCGAAAGAGGAAGGTGCGGGGAGATGGGGGCGCACGTAGGGACTCTGAGGGCGATCGGCGCGTCCTGTATTTAAGGCCTAACGACGGGGTGGCGTGGTGTGGGGGAGCCGACCCCCTCTTCTCTACCGTCGTCATTCTCCCCTGCCGGGCTCCGTTCAGCCCTACCCACGGCTCTTATCGCCCACTTCGCCCATCTTCACCGCCCTTCCCGCCCTTTATTCATCCCACTCCTGTCCCTACGGCTTCGTCCCGCGCGTCAGGCCGAGACGGGCGGGAACACTTAACTAACGGCCGACTTAGTCTTCATTGACAAAGAGTAGTGGCGGGCGCGGGGGGGCAGTCCGCGGCAGAAAATAAAGACAAAGAAGGTAAAGGGGACAAAGTGAGAGAGAGAGAGAGAGAGAGAGAGAGAGAGAGAGAGAGAGAGAGAGAGAGAGAGATGGAGAGAAGGTGAGGGGAGAGGGGGAAGAAAGATTTCTCTGCACCAACCCTTGGCTGTGCTGGCGGTGCCGCCGATCCCGCGGGGAAGACTATACGGCCCACTGCCCTTCTGGGTGCCTTTACGCCCCTCTCCAAGTGGCAATTGAACGCCGCCACCGCGGTGGCAGATGCGCGTGTGGTCTCCCCTCTGCCCCTCCCCCAAACCGCTGCCCTTCCCCGCCCACTGCCCCAAGCAGCTTGATTACTTCGCTTGATAGGTTTATTCATCGCCGTTCCGGCAATCGCCACGGTATTGAGTGCTTCCGGGCGAGGTCGTTGGGAGGAGGGGGGGGGGGGGGAAGGTACGGGCTCGGCCCACAACCGCACGGCCTTCAACGCGACTCTTAACAAGGTAACACACCGGCTTTCATAGCAGCACGCCCTTCTTTTATTTACTCGTTCTTTACCAACACCCCATTCATTTACTTCATGTTAGAGGGGAACGAGTATTATCGGCGGTGCAGTGCGAGGGGGGGATCACTTCGAAAAATCATTGTACAACCCCCCAAAAAAGTCACGAAAAAGTCACAAAAAAGTCACAAAAAAGTCACAAAAAAGTAAAAAAAAAGTCACTTTTCGTAAAATCATTGTACACATTTCGCATGACTGATCACCCCCTCGGTGCAGTGTAATCATCTCAGAATTCATAATAGTCAAAAGGTGTTTGTAATATTTCTGGACAGCTTGAATGCTAGTATAGAGTCAATGGTATAACCTTTTATAAGTACAAGTGAATTTTTGAGAACACTCAGCAAAATTCACAATGTCATTAGTCTAACCTCATCATGCTAGTGCACTGTTAAAAATGGTATTTGAGGGATACAGTCTTGACATTGCTTGAAAAGAACTTTCCTCCAGAATGAGTACAGTGCAAACTAAAGGATTACAGTGTTTTCAAAATTACCAGTCCATTCTGTAGTTATTTACTGTTGTAATTGTTAACAGTATGCATTGGGTTTAGAAAGTACATCCCTTAATAAGATTCATGCGGTTCATTCGGAAAATTACAGGTGCTCCGGCGCCTGTGATACTCGGGGTAGGCAATCCCGCGGTACACGAGTGAATCGCACGCAATATGTTGCCTACCTACCAGGCGCTACGAGACCTTGCAGCATGGGATGAACTTTTTGAATGATCAAAGGACGATAAGGCAAGTAAAGGGTTTATTACTTAGCTCAAAATTACTTTTGTGCTGTACGCTGTACGTTCATTTTTTTGTACAATCAGTAAAACATCAAAAAAAGGGAAGAGAACTGTTCTTGAAAAGCGGACTAGATTCTTTCTGGTTCGGGCTAAGAATAATTTTTCTTAAATCATGAAGCCTTAGTTTAAAAACATGTTGCTTTAATAAAGAACAAGAATATTCATGTTCGAATATTGTTTTTTGATAGACGACGAACTTGCCATAAAAGTCCGACTTCTAAGAATAATTTTGTTGCCTACGGAAAAAAAAATTGTGGAAGGAAAAGGGCATATTAATTAATTTCGGACTAAACTACAGACACACGTATTTTGCCGGTCACGGCCGCCAATAACGGCAACAGTTCGCGGTATGTGCCCGCGGGGCTGTGGGGGGCGGGCCGGGCCCCTGGGAGGGAAGGCGGACCCGCGGGGCACGGGCGCGCGGCGGGCGTGCCCACCTCCACGGCGCTATGCACCCGCCCGCCGGCCGCGAGCACCCCGCAGCGAGCAGAACCAATAAGCACTTCCCTCTGCAGGGCGGAGCAGGGCCGGGCGGGCCCCGTGAAAATATTTGCATTGTGCTGCGGGTCCAAACAAAGGACACGAGCGCAGCGCGGCGGATGAGCAGAACAGCGGCGGGGAGGGCGCCCGCCAGTGCGCGCGCGCGCGCGTGTGCTGCGCGGAATTGGAAAAGAGGGAAAATAGAGCGTGAGTGAATACTTTCCGCAAGCGCGTCCGCGATGCGTTTCACTCACTCGTTCCTTATTTACCTCCCCTGGGTTACCCAAAACTCCAGAGCACGCGGAGTTGGAAGGACGAATACTGTGATGAGGGTGATGAGGTCTGATGACATAAGTTAGGAGAATCCATACTGCAGCATAAATTGGAATACATGCGCACAGCGTTTATGTAGACCGACCGTAGACCGATTTTCGTCGGGCCCGTAAAATACGACAGGCAAACCAAACAGCACGTGGGACAGTAACAGTATAACTAAGAAAGTTGCGCGGAGTTGATCAGCCATATAGCCACCTGGGATGTTGGCATTGATCTGAACTGAACCCCCCCCCCCTCCCCCCACGACGTGGCACTAGCTTGGCGCCGGCGCTTCCGGCTCCAGCAAGACAACGCGCGAGGACAAACAAACACAACAAAAAGCACGCGCAACTCCGACGCTACGACGACGCGCGTGCCTGTATCACAAGCAGCGGCGCGTTGGCGTCGACGTGAGCTCGCTCATTATTTCCGACAGTATAGCGCCCATTTCGGCGTTGCCATTAAATTTGATGCCAAGTGCCATAGTGTCGTGCGGCCGGGCGGGGCGACCGCGCGGGGCGACCCCGATGAGTCCCTCTTCATTCCTGGACCCTTTCCCTCCCCCGCCCCCTCGGGCACCGCCGCCGCCGGCCGCGAGGGACTCCCGGGGGCCGGCACTCCGTGAAACACTCGTTACCGCCAAGT